GGTGTTGTTGGAAAGTTGGCTTTCGGCGGCGAGCACGAGTCCCGGCCCTAAGTACAAAAAGGAGTGAATATCGAACGGGAGCGGTGTTGTTGATGACGATGTTGTTGTTGAGCTCTCATTCTTGAAGAATAATTATTGTTGATCCCCCCCACCGGTGCACATTGATTTTTTTCGATTGAAGTGCCACCCCCGGGGCTCGCACCTTGTTTTTTCTAAAGGAAGGTCTTCCTGCTCAAACTGTGCCCCTGCCCCCCGGGCTACAACAACAACGGCTCCCGCCTGAGACTTCCTCGATTATTACTCAGGACCCCCGCTCGTGCCTGAGACCTCCGCGCAATTTACTCAGGAAAGGCGCTCCCGTCTGAGACTTCCTCGCAATGTAATCAAGACCCCCGTTCCCGCTTGAGACTTCCGTGCAATTTACGTGGGAACGGCGCTCCCGCCTGAGACTTCTTCGAATTTTACTCAGGACCCCCGCTCCTGCCTTACATTTCCGCGCAATTGACTCAGGAACGGCGCTCCCGCCTGAGACTTCCTTGCAATTTAGTGAGGACCCCCGCCCCCGCCTGAGACTTCCGTGCAATTTGCTCAGGAACGGCGCTCCCGCTTGAGACTTCCTCGCAACTTAGTCAGGGCCCCCGCTCCCGCCCGAGATTTCCTCACAATGTACTCAGGACTGCGCTCTCGCGTGCGACGTCCTCACAAATTATTCTGGAATTGCGTTTCGGCGCTCAGGAACCACGCGCGCGCCAAGGACGCCTTCACAACGTGGTATCTTCCCTCTTCCTTCGTCCTTCCCCCTCCCCTTCCTCCCACTCTCCCTCGTTCTTCCCCTCCTCCTCTTGCAGGGCCCGCGCCAATTCCAATGGCGGGCAGAGAGATGTACGCCCCCGAAAGATTGTCCGCCCGTTCCGGTTTGCCCGTACGTCTAAGCCCGCCGGCCCCAGCAAAGAAAAATAATCCCCCCGAAAGGGGTGTGATCGAAGACGAAGAGGGCGGGTTTCGAGGGTGTAGGGTATACGTGTTGAATGACTCGCGGGCAAGTAAGAGCGTACAGCCTTAAAATGGTTGTTGTTGTTGTTGTTGAACATTATTACTTCTAAAGAATAATTATTGTTGGGGCCCCTGGTGCGCGCCCCCCCCGCCGCGCCTAGGCCGCAGCCACATTTTCATCATTTTCGTGAGGAAGTCTCAGGCAAAACGGGTTGGTCCGGATCCGGTTGTTTTGTTCCCCCCCGCTTTCCCTTGCAAAAACAATATAAAATGACATTTCTTGTTCTAACATAACCAAACTTCAAGAATCCCTTGCAAAAAATAAGGTAAAGTGGACATTCGCGCGCGCAAAACGAAATCTTTCCAAAACCTTAGTTGTCGTAGCGATTTTAACATAAAAACATCAAAAAACCAATGTTTTTTTTTTTTTTTTTTTTTTATGTCAAAATTTCATCCCGCGCGCTCTTGCGGATTCGTAGGAAACCCAACACTTTTTAAACATTTCTGTCAAACGGGCTTTTGCGAGCAACTTTTTCGAACTTCTGCAACAACGGTTGCGCACCTGCCAGGGCCATCATCCCTGTCAAATAATACCATGCGGGACACATTCGTTTTTTCTTCGCGCGCGCACGCCGTCGTCGTCGGCCGCGGGGCCCTGAATAGTAGCCACGGTCGTCCGCATGCCACGAAGTGAAGTGTCCGAACGTCATAGGGCGGGAAGCTGGGTGTGGGTGGTGGCGAAGAGTCGTTTGGAAATTTGGTAGAGCTTGAACCGGCCCCCCCACAAAGTGGGGGTATTGCCCGCCTCCTATGAAAACCCTGGCACTGGTGAGAACGGAGTGTCCCCACGTGCTAGTAATTGTTGTTGAACATTATTACTTCTAAAGAATTATTATTGTTGGGCCCCCTGGTGCGCGCCCCCCCTGCGCCGCCTAGGCCGCAGCTACATTTTCATCATTTTTCTGCGAAAGCTTCAGAAAAGTGGATTACCCCCGGATCCGGTTTTTTGTTGACGCTCGTTTTCCCTTGCAAAAAACAATAGAAAATGAAAATTCTTGTTCTTAGTTGATCAAATTTCAAGAATCCCTTGCAAAAAATAAGGTAAAGTGGACATTCGCGCTCGCAAGACGAAATCCTTCCAAAACCTTAGGTTTCGTAGCGATTTTAACATAAAAACATCAAAAACCCAATGGTTTTTTAAGAAAAAATTGTCAAAATGTCCTTCCGCGCGCTCTTGCGGATTCATAGGAAACACACCACTTTTTAAACATTTCTGTCAAAAGGGTCTTTGCGTGCTACTTCTTCAGGTGCTTTGAACTTCTCCAACAACGGTTGCGCGCCTGCGAGGGCCACCATCCCTTGCAAAAAATGAGACGAAGTGCACATGCGCGCGGCCGCCGCGCGCGCATGTCGAAATCCTGCCAAACACAATGGGTTTTCAATAATTTCAAGATGCGATGTTCAGAAAACATATGAAAACGCACTACTTTCTCATCCGAAAAATCTCGAAATCCATTCGCGGTCTCTTGATGAATCTTTAAAACCCAAGATGGCCCCAACAGGCGCGCAAGATGGCCCCAAGAGGCGTCCATGAGGCCCAAAGAGGCGCCCAAGATGGTCCCAAGAGGCTTCAAGAGGACTCCAAGAGGCCCCCAAGAGGTTCCAGAGAGGCTCCAAGGTGGCTCCAAGAGACCCCCAAGATGGCCCCAGGAGGCGTTCTAGAGGCCCCAAGAGTCCGCCGTGAGGGTCCAATAAGCCCCCAAGAGGCCCCAAGATGGTTCCAAGGAGCCCCCCAAAGGCTCTCAAGTGGACCCCAAACCGCGCCAGGAGGCTTCCCCCCTTCCCCAAGAGGACCCCAAGCGGCCCCAGGAAGGCCCCCGACTGCTGACGCACATATCCGTAGCCATCTCGGATCAAGGTATCGCCTGTGTTCTTGGATCATGGCTTTGACGGCGAAAGACCTTCACGAGCAGTATGGCCCTGAGCTGTCGCGGCCTCCCTTGGCCGACTGCGAGAGTGCGTATTATTTGCATCAGGCGCTCCGGGCAAAGGGTATCAATGCTAGTCACCAGGCGTGCAAGACTTGGTGGGCCAAGTATCGGGTTGTGACTGGCACGGTCAGTATTTCTAGCGCCAAGGAGCTGGAGGAGCAGCACGGCTCTGCCATCCGCCACCTGGGCATTGAGTATAATACCGCTTTCAAATTATGCCGGGCGCTCCGACAGTTGGATCCACCACTGTATGTGCCAGATAGGGTCGCAACGGCGTGGCTACTGCAGTATTCATCCAAAGACACGCTTGTCCAAGTGCAGAACGCTGGCCACTTGGAGACCTGGTATGGAGAACGTATTCGCAAAGACATGCCCGAGGGGACCACTGACGGGGCCGTCTTGAAGCAGTGGCTCCTGGGACATTTATCTGTATCTGCTAACGCCAGGGTATGCCAGAAGTGGCTCAGCACGGAG